ATTATCTGTCATTCTTAAAATTATATTTTACGTTACCTAACGGCAGTGTTTGAAATTTCGTGTGTTCTTTTTATGAGCACATTTGAGTAGCAGGTGTTTCAAGTCTAGATTTTGGCGAAATTCACTAGAACAGTGAGGTTCGGGAGAAATCTCCTCCCAGAAAATGTTGAATATTTAGACCATCAGCGAGAAGGCTCTTTCACTGTTGAATGACAGAAATACGTACTCAATTCTCAAGTCTGATCCTACTGGAAAGACTCAAAGAGTTTTAAACGCCAAGTTACTTCTCTTGAGGAAATCCAATATTATCAGCAAGGCTACGTATGAAAAGTTATACAGCAGTTTTGGACTATCTCCGCGTTTCTATGGTTTACCGAAAATCCAGAAACAGGAAATTCCATTGAGACCTATTGTGTCCTTTGTGAATACTCCCACATACGGAGTTTCAAGTTTTTGGCGAAAATTTTGTCTCCTGTGGTAGGAAATACCGAAAACACTGTAAAAAATTCCTGTCATTTTGGTAAAACTCTTAAAGCAGATTAGGTAAAGGTAAAACTCTTAAAGTTTTGAGGTAAAACTCATAAAGGAGATCAAGTGTTTGGTAAAACTCTTAAAGTGCATATGACATGAAATTTCTTATTTTCTTAAACGAAAGAACCCTTTAAGCTGTAGTCTAACTTATTTTTCAGTTTCTTGTTTTTATGGTTTGTTCCCGAGATATTTCAATTTGTTTGATATGTAAATGAGTGTGAATATGTCCGCTAATTTATGACGTCACGTTGGTTGCATCTCAACTTACACTCGTTATGAATCTACTAAGGGGGCAGTCATTATTAATGCCAGGGGGGCGGAAGATATTTCTAAACTCATGGTAAATTTAACATGGCCCCTCATTCTTTCAAAATATATTTTCATGCCCCCCCCCTTTAAATATAATAAATTTTCATAGCCCCCCCCCCCTCCTTCTTCCCCTGTGATTGAACTTGCATTCCAAACATATACTAAGATCACAGGGGGCCCAATCGACACCTTGGGTAGTCTCCCTCGCAGACGTTCTTATAGCTCTAACCCTCGCTAACTAACGTTTGCTGAAACGAGATGCACATTCCATTCCCTTTGTTTTAAGAGTCAATCATCTGGCAGTGTTCAAAAGAGTTAGAGCCAATTGCATGGAAGCCGCCTTATTGAGGGTTTAGCTACTGGGGAAAGCCCTTGCACATGGGAATATATTGTTTGGGTTGAAATTTGTTTACTTGCGTGGAGATATTTTGGAAACTATAGCCTTGAACTTCACGATGTTTACGTAGAATAATATTGTGATCATCTTTTCGCGTATTCTGCAAACAACCGGCGTATATAAAATGCAAAAGCTATGCAACAGGAGAAATTTTAAATTGTGTTAACAATGACAAACAAGCAATTGGGAAACTCGAGAACGAGTACATCAGGATATGTCCAAATGTTGCTATTAAATTCTTCCGATATGCCATGGCTTCGACGAAAAATTCTAAAAGATTAAGCTCTCGTTGCATGTAGAAAGGTATAGCGAAGTTACATGTATAAACGTTTCGAAGTTTGCATGGGCGAACTGGAAATTCATATCGGCGCAATTAAAAGTTTCTCGGGTTTTATTTGCGTTGTGTTTACATTCAAAAGTCAGAAGTGAGAAGTCGTTGCTCAACAGCAAATTAGTTTACTTTGAAACTAATATTTCGCTTTCTAAGCCACAGTATTATATCAAATTTTCTGTCTTGTAAGTTCTGTTGTCTTAAAGATATATATCTGTCAAAAGTTCACATTTCAGCGAAATATATTTTGCATTTGATGCTGTCGCCACTAGATTAATACAGTGTACCCTCGAGTATGCCATCCTGTCCACGTTTTAAATATAACCGAACATCTTTAATATCTAATATATTTAACCTGTGCAAAACCTCCCTCTTCCGAAACTCTTACTTTAACAGAATTGTATTTTTATGGAACAATTTACCGTCTGATATCAAATCATCTTCGTCAGTCGGCATACTTAAATCTAAACTATATATATATATATATATATATATATATATATATATATATATATATATATATATATATATATATATATATATATATATATATATATATACTCACTAATCCTAATGTTTCATAGTTCCAAGACAGTTCACATGACTTGGAATTTGGCAACGGTCATCGATTGAGTTGTTGGTGAACGTTGAGACTGATGTATCAGAAAGCGCAGCCACTGAGCTCTACTATATATATCTGGAGATCGTGCTCGCAAATGAAAAGTGTCCGCAAAAACATGGCGGATTTCGAGCTCCACGTCCACTATTCTCATGGTACGTTAACTGACCACAGCTCAAATGCGTGCGGGCGACAGTTCCCACTCCCCCCTGACCAGAGAGCCACTGATCTTTATAATTTTTAAAAAAGGAGTACATTGGAGAAGATTTGAAATTAGTAAATATTTATAGTTACATATAGGTGTAAAAGGTTTCTTCTGAACTTTACCAACTACTATCAAGTTCAAGCTGGATCATTAATTCATTCGAGCGACTATCTCCACAATTTCTGCTGTGAAATGTATAAATGATGATCCAAACAGATAATATAAATGAGCTGAACGAATGGTGGTATTTTTGCCCATGTCGCATGTATGCTTTTGCAGTATCGGTAGGTGCAGACCTACAGTATTTTGTGTGGAGCCGTAGAAAATGAGTAATAATTAAATTACTAAATTAACGAGAAATTGAAATAATTGTCATGATGGGAAACAAACTTTTGAAATTTCGAGGACTATGGTGATTCTGTTTCCATATGTTAATAAATAAACAACAAAAGCTGAAAAGCACTACAGGTGAGGCATTTTTCAAAATTTTAATTAAACACTTGTACTGTACCATACATTCATTTATTGAAATATACTATAATTTATTACTATTATATAATATTTCAACTCGATTACTACTTGTATATAATGCACATATCAATGGCCTGGCCCTGGGGGTACACCCCCGGGACATTGCAAAAACATGATTCTAATGCATTAATTCCCCCTCCCTCCCCCGGGAAATGTGTAAGTCAAACTGCCCTCCCCCTGGGCTTACAATAAAGTAGTTCATAATATAAATAGCATACAAACAATTAAAAATTATTATACAAACTGGGGTATCACAATGGCACTCATGTATTCCATATTTATTTATTTATTCAAATTTTAGCAAGACCACTACAAAATATCATAAATAATATGTTGCCGATCGATATTTTTCTGTGAGCCTGTGATTTTGAGTTCACACCAATTATGTCCAACCTCGGAATTTTGAAAAAAATTTTCATTTTTTTTTCCAACCTCGGAATTTTGAAAAAATTTTCATTTTTTTTCCAACCTCGGAATTGTGAAAAGTACTTCATTTATAAAATTCAAATTGTCACGTCAAAGTCCCCTACTTCCCCTCCCCCCATCGTCCTATTATTGCGAAGTTTGTAAGGGAGTGGTCATTATTTATGGGAGGGGGCGTTGGGAAATGGGAGGGGGGGGACAAAGTTTTACCTTTATAAATAGAGGGGATCAAAAAAGTTTTAACACAGAGAAGGGGGGGGGTCATAAAAGTTTTTGAACTTAAATACCATGTCTAGAGTTCTGATTTCTATAATCACAAATAGCAAAAAAGAAGACTCTGAAAATGCTATTTCCAACAAATCTAGATACTCAAAATTTCCATGCTCTGGGGTGGACATCTACAAAAAGGGACCATACTATATTGAGTGCGGAGAGATGACAGATGGTTGTTGGTGACAAAAAGTTTGGTGCGGTATTGTATGTACTAGTAGGGGGGTCCGGGGATTCTCCCCCAGAAAATGTTTTGTATTTTTCCACCCCTAGAACTGAAATGTAAGCATTTTCTGAAACAGATTTTTGGATATACAACGTTACATTGTGTGTTGATAGACCGAATCTGATCAGTTAAGTGTATTTGCATGGTATGTTTATGTAAATACCACAACTGGGTCACTCAGGGGGTAGCAAGCTTGTTAAACTTAGTGTGCCCGACTCCCATGATTGCGAGGCACTACCATGGTTGGTGCCCAGACAAGTTCTTAAAAAAAACGCTGTGTTCAAATCATTTTGCTGTATGAAGACGGGTCATGGGTTAGGGTTATGGTGGGACAAATGTTGCATTACAAAGTAGTAACACATAATATATATTTTTAATCACATATGGTTGAATCATATTCACCAGGGTAAAACATCATGAGCTAGATTAAACAGATTGTCCTAATATCTAACTTTACATGCAATGCACACCTGTGTCATTGCTGTTAATTTTTCAATCTATACTGGGGGGTGGGGGTCAGAAAAGTTTCTACTTTTATGAGGGGGGAGACACAAAAAGTTTGCCTTCAGTCTGGAGGGGGTCAAAAAAGTTTTCAATCCTTATTTTCCCCATTTCCCAACACCCCCCCTCCCCATAAATAATGACCACTCCCTAATCTCCCCGGGGTTCACAGGCAGAACACACAGATAAAATACCAAATTCCCCCTCATTTCCCCCCAGTTGTCCCAGGGTGTACCCCCCGGGCAGGCCGTTGATATGTGCATAATTCTCTTTCAAATTGTATAAAAAGTATGTTGTTCCTTTTGCATTTCTACTATACATATAATTTTAATGTATAAATTTGTGAACACAGCCATGCTTTGTTGAAACAAAACTTATGTTGGTTTATGCATGTATCATCTAAATATTTACTGCTGTTTGTATTTTTCAGATTATGGAAACTGCACATTGTTGATCATGTCTACTCACAATGTACTCTGTGCACATTATGGGGAAAGTAAATCTGCACTAATAAATACCCAAATGTATATGGCTCTACGTTTGTCACTGGAATCATTGTTATATTCGATGGCAATTCATGGCAATAGAATCATATTGTTTGACCAGGCAAAGCCAAGGATTAGTTAATGAAGGATCTAGCACACCAAACAATAATTATATATTATTTTATTAAACATATTCTTATGTGCAATTATTAATTTTCATTACAAATTAGATTTATTCAACATTTAAAAAGTTTAATTTAAAAATATATACAATATTATTATATTACTATTACAGGCCATCAATAAGTATTCTTGGTTTCATACCCATGTTTTATTTTGTTAATTCCATAAGGGTATTCTCGGGTTGTCCCAAATGATACAAGTGAAACACGCACATAGCTATCGCTTTTAATAAAAGAGTATTTGATGTCATATTTACTTCAATATATTTTATTGAAGCTATGCTGGCTATAATTAGCTGATATTTCCAGTGGTGGCACCAGCAGTGGGGACATCCCCCCCTAAAATATTTTTCAAACCAAGAATATTTATTAATGGCCTAATAAATAAATTAAAATTAACACACAACACTCACACAACATTCACACATTATAACATACACAAAGTTACTTAGTGAATTATCATGGCAATTGTGCCAATTATGTTGTTCTTGAACAATTGTCTGAGTGGGTTTTTGCTCTATTTGGGCACACAATTTTTGTATGCCCTCTTTTAAAACACATCCAGCATACCATTCCTAGTAAATGTACAATAAATTTTAATATCGAGGGGCCACAAAAAAATTTTGACCAGTGAAGGAGGGGGGGGGCAGAAAATATTTTGAACATAAAGGGGGGGGCAAAAAATGAAATCTATAGTTTGTAACATGCAATATCAAAAGAGTGATGGATATATACAGTATACATACATTGAACAGTAATGCCCAATATATTGAACCTCAGTATACATACATTGAACAGTAATGCCCAATATATTGAACCTAAAAGTTGTGTTCTAGGCACTGTATATGGAAATTGTCATCCTCATCATCACCAAAGAATTTGTCTAAAGGGTCATGCACTGCATTTGCAAATGCAAGATTCAATTGAAAGTTGTTGTCCTGCTTTTAACACAGTGGACCTCTTTCGCATGTTCTGTTTCTGCATGTTGTTGACAGTCTCTTCTGCCATCTCTTCAATATACAGTAATGCTTCCACCAGACACAAATGTATTTTTTTCAATTAGTAAAAGTAGGTCTGATTTGTGGGGTTTTTGTTTGAGGACCAACAACGTTTCAGGTATAAAGTCTGAATTATCTACTTGGCTATCATTTTCAATATTTACAATATTCTTTATTTTCAATATTTACAATATTCTTTACATCTGCTAGTAAACTGAGTATGAGGGCAGGAAAAATGGTTATGAAACTGACTTAGAGTAATTGAATTCAGAATTGGGGTGGAGGGGGGGGGGCTATGAAATATGTTGCCTCAATAAGGGGGGGGGATAAAATAGTTTGTTAGAAAAATAAGGGGTCATGAAAAATTTTTGCTATTCATAAAAATTTCCTCCAGCCCCCTACCCGGCATTAATGACTTGTCCCTTAGCAAAGAATGTAACTCATGCACACTGTTACATATAACACTTTAACACTTTAAATCGCACCAATGGCCTGAGCAAACCTTTGTGTAACTATTGTTGGTATTAGCATCCGGTCTCAATACTAATTTCTGGCTTTTCCCCTTTATCTCATACATATCAGCACTAAAGTGATCTGAACACAAACGACTACTTTTCGCAGGAACAGACTTCACTGTCACATGTTTATTCATATACTCAACCCATATGCTGTACAACTCTGGATGCTTCTTTGCATCAGGAATGCTTAAATATGTGAAGGGAAAAAATTCAATAACAATATGCTTTCATAAATACAAACAGGCCTATAAAATACACTGTACAGTAGGTAGGAAAAACGCACACGAGAACATCACAAGGAACAATGGAAATATAATATTTGAATGAAACAAACTGCATGCAAAAACCTCAGAAAAGAAGCCACAGTCGAGAAAAGCTGGTGACACATGCACGTGAACAAAACATAACTACCGTTTGCTTTACATTGTCATTTGCAGAAAAAACTTCTCGAATGATATCTAAGCACAAAATAATACTTCCTTACCAGTGTGAATACAGTCCGTCTTTGTCAAAGGAGTTGTGACAACCATAAACCGAGCAATATTAACGCGGCATGTTGACAAAATATAAAGTTGTGAAACTTGATAGTTTAATAATTACACAGTGTATACGTTTTGCATCCAGGGGGGTGCGAAAACAGGTGGCTTTCAAAAATATTATGTGGTCAGTGGTAAATCGCCCGAAAATAGTGGACGCGGAGCTCGAAATCCGCCATGTTTTTGCGGACACTTTTTTGTTTGACGAGATATGGGAGCACGGTCTCCAGATATATATAGTAGAGCTCAGTGGCGCGAAGCCTCTGCACGATGCAATACCCAATATGGCGGTAAACCGGGGGGGCGTATAATTATCAAACGCAAAATTCAAGTCAAAATGACTGAGAAAATCAGTGCTCTCACTTTTAAGGAATTATCCTTAAAAATAGGAATTTTGAAGAGTTTTAAGGATTTTTTTAAGGAATTTAGGTTTTTGAGGATTTTTTTAAGGAATTTCCGAAACATTTTATCCTGGACTAAAAACGTTGGACGGAGGATAACCACGCCACGCAAATCGGCAAATGAGATTTAAACTTGAAAGTAGCAACATTATACGCACATAATTACATATATTCATATGTTCTCTATGTCATAAATGTACATATGGCTGTCTTTTCCAGTACCAAATAACACAAATCACACTCATTTAACGTAATTGTCATCATAATATAATAGTATATGTTTCTGTACATGGCTTGGCATGTATTTATAACAAAACTTAAAACAGTGTTTTGAAACCCTAGTTTTTCACAAAATGTATTCTCAGAACGCTGCAAATGCCATTTCCGGGATTCTAATTTTAAAATTTGTCCGTGCCTTCGGCACGAGCTCCCCCCCCGGCCAATGTTTCGTAAAGTGTCCGCCACTGGTCTTTTCATTGAAATTCTCAAAAGTTAAATGTCAGTATATGCTGTTTCTTCTGAAATCTACAGATTTTTTAAGCTCTTCATGCAGCAACGGTCAAAAATACATCATGTTGAATGTTTTCTTTATGGCATTACGCTAACAATCAAATGTTTTCAATTTTTAGTGCTTAGAAACAAGGTTAAAAAACTGAAAAACAGAAAAAAGGAGGAAAAAAACACTTTTTGCAACTGTGTGATCAGGCCTTCTGGTAATTTTACCAATTTAAGGAATTTTAAGGAAATCTGAGGAATTTTCGAGCTTTTTCTAAGGAATTCGAAAATTTGATTGTGAGAGCACTGGAGAAAATATCTCTTTACATTATACTGGCAATACTGCAACAAGCTGACAAAGAGATTATTTACTAGCTCTACGAAATAAGAAAGTGTTATGTTGAGTTTGCGAGAAAACATCTGCATTTTTTCTAGACAAGGTCTCCATCTACAGTATAAAACAATACATGGAAACATTTCAACTTCAGCAATATTTATAAACAAACGCGACCTTCAGTCGGTTTCGACCTGATTTATTTGGAGGTTCGTATCTTTGGTTCAATGTACGCTATGTAGATGAAAATACCACCGTTCGATTCAGTACAAAAATATCTCCTAGTTTCTATCGACAGTTTTAGTGAAATGTCAACACTATAGCGATTTGTGACCTTTGAAAGTCAAGCGGGATTTTGTATATTAATATCAAATCACGCAATGCAGAGGAGGTTGGACAGCTAATTAGCGAGTTGTCACGTGAGCTCTCGACCAATGAGATCGCTCTATTTTCCATCGTGTTGGCGAAGATTTTTGGCCGCCAAATTTGCATTGGACACAGAAGAACTCAAAAAATATATATAAATATTCAAATTTTGCTATCAAAATGCAACCATGGCCTTAGTATTATAAAAGGACTGGCGATATGTGCAAGAATTTCTGAGGTAAACGTTATTTTTTAACCTGTTTTCGATGATTAAAGTTGGTCATGCCTTGGCAACGTGATGACTCAAGTCCGAGTCTGTTTACAATTTTCAAACTAAAAAATCTGGAATTCCCATGGTTCGATTTTCGTAATTTTTGCAAAAAAGTCAAGACAAATGTCTAAACTAAAAATCTGCTGGAGGGATCCCCGGGATCCCCCGGCAGTTTTCGAGATATTTGGCATTGAATGACCATACTCAATTCAACCTTTGCCAAAATGGCGTCTAATATCTGGGGAAGATATTGCGCCACCAAAGCTTGGTTTTCACATTGAATTTTGAAAGTCCCCCAATATTAGGATCATTTTTCTTTACAGTAAGTGTTAAATTACTTTTGAAAGACTATTTAGAAGACTTAGGAGTTATTTGCCTGTTTTTACAGATTTTATATCTGGGCTGGTATTACTAGCCTGCATGCCCATCTCCTCGACATGCATGTCTATCTCCTTGGTAAGTGAAATTGTCTGGTGGTAGAGACGATTTTAAAAGAACAGCACATTATAAAGTGATCAGATTTTCTCACAGTGAAAAATTCTATGTTCCTTTTTAATTACAGCAGTTCAGATGTCGATATAGAATTGAAAAAGGGCTTCTTCCTGAACATCCAAGGGCAGGGCCAACTGATGATGTTGAAGAATGAAGACATTTTAGCATGGATTACTAGTATAGATTATAGTATCTCTTGTCCTTTATGATGTCTTTTTGAAAGTTATTGGTGAATACAAATTGAGCTGTGATCCCTCAACGTGGCCAACAACATGCTCCACCAAATACCTGAGCACAATATAGAAAGTGCACATACTGTACATGCAGGGATGGATTTACTGGGGGGGGGGTGCACCCCCCTAGCCCTGGCCAGGGGGGTGCTATTTTTTATGATAAAGCAAAAAAGACAAAATGAGATACAATAATTTGAGTAATAACATGATAAGTGAACTGTGAACAACAACTACAATTCAAATACAGCAGTTGATGGGTGGGCGGCACACATGACCGACACAATTTGGCAGTCGGCACCAGAGCA